CATGGTGAGATGGATACCTCTCGTCGTTCGTGCTCTTTTTCGCCCCTCTCGGAATCTTTGCATACATGCATCCTCGCGGGCCACACTCACAGGTACGTAGCGTCTAGGTTTTCCAAATTCTATTTCGCGATGTATGTGTAGCTCCGGCGGGGCTCTCGGCGAGGTAAGATCGAAAGCAGCTGTAAACAGCGGCGGCTGGGCGTATTATCATTCTCTGTAAACAATTGTAATAGTTTTTTGTTGAAGAGAAGTGACCCGATAGGGACGCTCTTTGTTGTTCAAAAAAAGCTGTTCACAGGGGGGGGTGCGAAACGGGCTCAAGGAAGTCCGTCTGTCTGTCTGTCTATCTGTCTGCTGTCTGCTGCTGCCAGCCTCGATATATCACCCAGCAGATTCCAGCCCATTTCACCATCGGCACCAAATTGCAATCTAAGACGTGTTCACAACGAGTAATATTTTGCCCGAGCTGCCCCAAGTGCTACCTTTTCAATCCGTGCTCGGTGCGTCGAGATAGTGCAGCGTCGGTACCCAACTTGAACCAGGGAAGTTTGTGGCCCCTTGCAACACCGAGAGGAGCGTCGTCGTTTCATTTTGAACCAAGACAGATACTGACTGTAGGCTCGCAAACCACACACCACACGCACAGAGCCAGACATGGACGACCAGGGAGAGGGAGACACAGACCACAGCGAGGGCGAGACGTTGGGAGAGGGTTGTGCCATACACTGCTGCTGCTGTTAGCTATCGGCGGAGGAAGCGAGAGGAGAGATCAACATTTGGTTGCAGCAGCAGCAGCAGCAGCAGCAGCGGTCTCTCTCTCTCTCTCTCTCTTTCCGCGGAGAGGGGCACATGACACCAACAAAACACAGACGCTGCTACGCACCAACATTGGTGCTACATGTACTGCTGTACGCCTCTCTACACTTTTGTGCGTGAAGGCCTAGTGTGCGACCAGTGCCTCCATTGCTCGCCTGGTTACCCATCACACGCTTGAACGCTTTTGAGATTTCTCGCTCGAACCAACAAGCGACGCACAACAGCAGCAGAGCCATACTGTTTTTTTTTAGCTGCTAGCCCTATTTTTTGACATACCACATCCCTCCTTCCCCCCAGTGTTTGCGATCGGGATCGGGATTTTCGTCGCTTGGCAACGTTGTAAAAAAGCCAATTCACTTCGTGAACTCGGTGAAGGCCACTCTGATTCTCTAAGTCATGGGTTCGAGTCCGTGTGGAGGTGCCTTTTTTTCCAAGTCTTTCTTTTTTACAGAGTCCATCACAATGGGGGGGAAGAAACGGCGACCGGGCACTGCTGTAGAAGCGAGCCGGGCGGCCGAGGCAGTACTTGTGGCGAACAATGTACCCGGCTGATGTTGTTGCGCCCTGTTTCCCTCCCTGCTGTATGCTATACTTCTTTATATATGTCCTTCGTATTGCCTTCGGCCTCTGTGCTGTGTTTCTTTTTTTCTTGTCCTCCCTGCCTACTCTGCTGTGTTGGGTACCTTTGATCTCGCTTTTGCTGTTGCCTTTGTTTTTGTACGTCTGGCTGTCTGCCCATCTGCCGCCCCTTTGTCCTGTTTGCTCCGTTACTCCCATGCCCTGGTGCGTAGTGCCTGGTGCTGGTACGTTGATATTTTCTTTGGGCGGGTGTGGGAAGCGTCCTCCTCTATTTTGTTTTTGTTTTATGTTCGGTTTCCGAGGGCTCTTTTCTCTTTGGGCGGGTGTGGGAAGCGTCCTCCTTTATTTTGTTTTTGTTTTATGTTCGGTTTCCGAGGGCTCTTTTCTCGAACGGTCGGTGCGATACCTGTTCTTTTCTTTCTATCATTTTGTTTTGTTTTTCCGAGTGGTTTGTACCCTATTTTTGTTTTGTTTCCCCGCGCCGTCGAATGTGCCGGGTTTTGAGACCACGGGCTCCCTATTTTTTGTGGACCTCATAGCACCGTCGCACACTGGTGTGCTCCTGGAGCAATGCCAGGGTCTCAAGTGACTAGCGAGCACCTCCCTACCCCCATGGTGAGTACAGATGGCGCCCGCACTTAAGAACCTCTAGTTTCGGCCTAGGCTGGGGTTCTTATTTCTTCTTGTGGGCTACAAATGGCCGCTATGTAGGAGTTAGTGTGGGGTTCTTAACCGAGCTCACAAATGGTGCTCAAGTTCTTATCTTCTGTTTTTTTGCGAGTCTCAATTTCTCAACAGCTAACTTCTTAAGTGTGGGCGCTATCTGTATATTAATTGATTACGACCGACCGTTGTTCGAGATATTAAGCACCCACAACAACCAGTCGAAGTAAATGCTTTGTTGTACCGACTGCGAACGCAAGAACTTACTTGCGGAGGGGTTCGGGGGGGGCGAAGGGGGGTGAGGATCATGCACGCACCAGGGTTGATCGCATTTATTTGTACGCACAGATCGATGTATTGTACATGAGGTTGTGGTCGGAAGCAACAACAACTTAGAGTACGCCTTTGAATATCCTCGAATCGCTACGCTAACATTATCACTGCATCGGCACGCACCCAAAAACTCTCAACTTCTTAATGAACTGATTATTAGCACCGCCCGTGCATGCAACCTGTCTATTCGTCACCATCATGCTCGATCCTCAGGCTTCGCAGGATGGGAATGCGACCAACCGGAGCGCAGGGCGGCTAGGCCATGCAACCAGCGGACGCTGCCCGTGAGTGTTGTTGTGGTAAAGGTGGCGTGGGCGCTTGCAACACTTACGTGTCTTCTGTTTTTTTGCTGACTGCGCAGACTGCCGTGCGCAAAATCGCCTTCCGTAGCCTTTGTCGGCACAAAGTGCCCTCAATCGAAACGGTGTGGTAGATACTTTTCCGCCCACGAACGCCGGTCGGTCCAGGTAGAAAGTATTGTGTCCCCACCATTTGTTAAGGAGAATGCGTTCATAACCGTGGGTCCGTTTCAGGAACACTACCCTTGAATCACAAATTCGGTGCATGTCGTTCATCGCCGAGAGGTGCTCGCGTAGACCTTGGAGTTCCATCTCCGCCAATTGGCTTGGCACGGGGGAGCGTGTTTCCCACTTTCGTCCTTGTGCTCTGGTGGGTTGCATCCCCCCCCTTCGAGCTCTGACGATTGAAGCTGGTGACAAAAACAACGGTTGAATGCTGGGGTGGCCTTGTAAGTAAAGACATCAAGAGTTTTGTTGGGTGCGTGCCGATGTCGTCGTGATGAAGGCGTACTGTAGCGCGTCGAGGAGCTCAAATTCGGGCTCATTGTTCTCTGCTCTTCGATAGGAAAAATCCGACGCACACAAGGGAGAGTAAATACTTGCAGTCGACGGTAACTACGTTAGTCTACCCACCCGCACGGATATTCGGCACTGCAGGGGGGAGCCGTGAAACTATAGTACCACCGTATGCCGCAGGGCTCCTAGCAGTTAGTTGCCCACAGGTTGTTTGGACGGAAGTTCGAATCAAAGCACGCAGGTCTCGCGGGCCTGGCGTCGTAGGCAACAAAACTCCTCCATAATGATTGCTCCAAACGACACACAACCGGTCGCCCCGGTGGTCTAGTGGTATCCTCGTAATCCGCTAGTCGCAGAGGTCGTGAGTTCGAATCCCCATCGGGTGGGTGAAAAATTTACGAAATTTGCGGGTGAAAGCGAAATATTGCTAGAAAGCTCTCATGAGTACCAAACTTCGACGTTAGCACCGTTGACGAGGGAAAGGGACGGCTGGACCCTTCTCGCGATAAAAATAAAAATTCAGCACGCACCGCAAGAGGAAGGTGGGGCATGAAAAGAAACAAAAAAAAGAAAAGGCCCTGGTGTTTACCCCCTCCTGTTTGACCCTGTATGGTTGTAGTTGTACGAAAAAATACCCTGAAAGGTGAAGTACTCTACATACGCTGAAAAGTGTAGTACACGTCTCACCACGAAAAATGGGGGGACTGTCGCCACAATAAATAGGACGAAAATACACACACACACAGTAGATTCATCGGCAAGAAGAGCTGCAACGCGTGGATTTCCGGTTGTTCTACTCTGAAAACAGCAAGAAATCACGAGCCACGTGTTCGGCCACATGCTTCCCAGGAAATATCCAAGACCGCCACACACAGAGCGTGTCGTATGTATGTCATAATTTCCCCTGATGCACCTTTGACCAGCATTGAACAGATCGGGCGGACGGCCCCCACGACCGCGTCGGGGCTCGTCGCGCCCACTGCCACTGTGGGCGTACCTCCGGCATGGTCTATGCCGCAATCCGCGGGCGCCGCCAGCAACGCGGCGGGCGTGGGTCAAGTTTCCTGCGAGGAGAAAAACGACAACCCCGGGTCCGTGGTAAGCAGCCCAAGGCTGGCTGTGGCCTGGGTCAGATTTCAAGCTTGATCAATTCCTGGCTGGCTCGGTGTACCTCTGGGCCTGCGGCGAGCGCGACCAAGACGATGGTGAAGCTCCGGTGACCGTTCCCGAAGCAGTGGCGGCCTGGGTTGTCCTGCTGGTGAGAGGAAAATGGAGCTCGTCATCAGTGATTCATGCATGTAGATCGTGTGCGGTTGTGTATCTACGTACACCGGCAATCCGTGTATGCAGGTTGTCGACATGCCCCCCCCTCCCCCCAGGTGTGGAAGCCCGCATCGGAACGAAGTGGACGCTGTGCCTCTACCCCGAACAACGAACAAGCGGGCGTGTGCAGCCGAAACAAACGACTATAATAATAGCACAGATTCTAGCCTCCCGTGCTCGATTCGCCTCGCGCAACCAGCTACTTGGGCCCGGCCTTTCCTCTCAGCGACGCCACCGATGGGTATAAATCAGGTTGATCGAGCCCGAGTTCGTTTTGAAACAGGTCCCCATCGCACTCAACCAGCCGTGCAGTATACGTACGGTTTCAATGAACAACTTTAGGAACGCCAGTATCGTCCCCCGACGGAGTAGAGCAACCTCAACAACCTTCCCGCACTGCCGGCCCCCACGCACCTTCGCCCCTTCTTTGATCAGACTCAGGCGATATGCTACGCCGGGCTGTGGTACGTCGGTGGAAACCAATTTACCGAGGGCGACACCTCGTCCGAGACCGTCGACTACTCAATCCTGGCCATAGCAGTGTCCATGTACTTGCTCTTGTCGATAGCGGTGGCGGACCTGTGCGGAGGCTCTGCGCTCGTCGTGGAAGGACGCGGCTCCGGCGATGACTTTGTGTGGTTTACGGGACGGAGGCTGTTCGGCGTGTTCCTGGTGGTGACGTTTCTCACGTTAATCGGGGCCTCCGTGCGGGTGCTGTTTTTCTCGTCCCAGGACAACGTGACCCTTGTTATCGGGGCCGCCGCCGTCCTGTTCATCGCCGACGTGGTAAGTTCCACGGCGTATGATTACATGGCGATGTATTTCCAACACTCACTGCTGCGTCGGCCATGCGCGGACCCCGAACAGGTTATGGCACCATCATGGCTGGTTGGTGACTCTACTTGTGCAGCGAAATCACCCGAACGCTCACCGTTCACTCAAAGTGCTTCCTTGTACGAGATGCATGCATCGAATTAAAGGTCGTATGTATCCGGTGTATGTGTATTTTCAGCATACATAGCCGAACCCTCTGGGCGAGACGCACGTACGGCTTCCTACATCATTTACGTACGTCAGCGCACCCTCGGCTTACGTCGCAACACGCTCGTTGTTGTCGCTTTTTATTTTTCGCAGGACGAGAAGGCCCACACCGTGCTCAAGAACTTTTCCGGAAAATCGCGGCTGTGCTGGGTGCTTGAGATCATTGGTATGAGCTTCGTTCTAGCGACCTTTTCCTTGAAAGCGACCGACAACTATGGCCGAGTTGCTGGCAAAGACGCATACAAATCCGATTGCGCGGGATGGGGGAACGACTGCGGCATTTTCACCTGGCAGTATATTTTTTTTGAGCTGCCTTTGACCGTGACGGTGTGTGCGTTGCTGATAACAAGCGAAGTTTCGGAGCCGATTTCGCCCATCCTTGTGCGGAGGTTTCGCGACCGACCTTGGCAATGGAGCATGTTTTGTTGTTGGCGCTATGCTGGGTGTCAATGCCCTACTTTTTTCGTTGGATAATACTCCTTGCGGTGGCTATTGTCTTGTTCGTGGTGGTTGTGGCGGTGGTCATCGCGCGCCGCTCGTTTCGAGAATTGTATCGGGCTTTCACCCAAGGAGCCGAACGGTTTACCGCAACTGACAAGCGCCGGCGGTTCTACCTTTTTTGGGCCGGAATTGTAGTCCAGTTGCTGCGGGTAGCCCTCACCGCCATGTATTTCTCATTGTCCGACAATGACCAACTCGTATTTTCCGAAAGCATTTTCTCTGCTGAAGACGCCATTTCTTTTCTCGACGCGCTTGTGCATCTGGCTATTTTCTCGTGGTGGATTTGTGGAATGGGAATCAGCGAGGGCCCGTCGAGGGATATCGCCATTGACCCCCCTCTGCAACCAATGCTGTTGGGTTGGGGACTCTATTACGGAGTATTGATCGTGCTGACCTTAGTGTTCGAATGGATTCGAGGGCCCTCCGACTTCGCTGACGCTATGGTATATATTGCCGAATGGTCGGTCCGCCATTGTTGGAATATTATGATAGGGACATGGGTGTGGAGAGCGGAGGGAAAAAAAGACGTGGCGTACTGGATAGCGGCTTCGGGACTTGTTTTCACGATGGGCCTTTGTGTGGCAGCCTGGGTTGACGCGTGGAAAGAGTCTGTATTGACGTGACATTGCTCTTTTCATAGACCACTAGTGTACAAGCAAGCATGTCCAAGGTACAGGGAAACATTGCAGCTTGTGCGAAGTTTCAAATAGCACGGCGTCACGCCGATGCGCCCGGCGTAGTTTAAGGGAATGCGTGGACGTATCGGGTTCAATGCGCCGTTCGACTGGAACAACCCAAGGCCTCTGAGCAATGGCAAGCACGTGACTCTGGGCTAACGTTGCAGTCGCTGGTACTGAGTTTTGCAAGTGAGTGCGATGGCATCGAAGCAAGGGACGAAATCGTGGGCACAGAGGACGTTTTCGCAAGAAGTACGAAGCATCGCGGTACACCGGGGTTCCATTGTGGAGGCGGAGTGGTCCATGTCTCAAGGACCAGGAGGCTGGCTAGCCAGTTACGGGCGGGGAAATCGAGCAAAAAGTGAAGCTGATGGCGAGCCAAAGCTTACATTCACGGAGGGGCGTGGGTGGCGGAAGATGGAGAGAGACCAAGAGAGAAAAGCAGGGGGGCAGGGAACAAGAGGTAGCTGGAGCCTGTTGTTGGTTCCGCTTGGTGTTCGTTCCCGATTTCTAGTTCTTACGTCGGTTGTTATCTTCGTTTTACTACAGTGTATTTTGCGGCGTATTTTCGTCGAGGAAAGGGGAAGTGACCTGGTGGCTGTTTTTTTTTTGGAGCGGCCCACCTGTTTGGGTTGCTCGGCAGAGAATACTGTCTACGGGGCCTCCGGGGGATACGCGGATGGTGTGTATTGATGGACATGCTACATGGCGATGGTGTTGCCTGCCGCATGTCTCCCACTCTCGAAGCAACAAGGCCTTGAGTCAACCTTGTTTGTTTCTCTTTCGGCCTCTGACGAGCTACCGCACCCAAACACAATATTGTTCCATGATCCTAGTCGCAGGTGGTTTGTTTGTTTTGGTTTTGATTTTTCGGGATGAATGCTGCAGCAGCGGGGCTCTTGGATTGATTGATTGTTTTGATTTTGACTTCATAGGATGGAATGGATGTTACAGCAGGGGGGCTACTGGACTGGTTTCTTTGTCACGGTATTGGATATCGGAGGAAGGGTTTGGCATGTTCTCGTTATTTGGACTGGTCATTGAGTTGAAGCATAAATATTTACCTGAGGAATGAATTTGTTGTGAGCAGTCAGGACGTAAGACACGTTTTCCCGGAGTTACCCGTCATCCATCCCCGTTCTGACGTGATTCTGATGTAATGTTGATCTTTGTGCTGGGTATTTTTCCAAGGGTGATTGTTCGTGTTTGATTGCTTGAGAATTCGGTAGAGCATTTTCCTCAAGAGGGTGATTTGTTTTTCTGGACAGACCTTAAAGGGGTAGAAATTTGACATCGAAAAGGTTTGAAAGCTTTGCCGGACGTGTTCTGTTAGAAGATCCGGCGATTTCGTGGGACATGATGTGCTATTGGCAGAGTCGTTTGGATTGGAATGGTGGATGATTTCTTGTTGGCAAAGGGGTTTTGATTTTTCTGTCTGCCGTTTTATCTGGCAATGACAGTCAGTCGTGACGGGGATTTCGTAGATCGTATCTCGTACCGAGCAGGGGTGCTGTTTGGGTTGCTCGGCAGAGAATACTGTCTACGGGGCCTCCGGGGGATACGCGGATGGTGTGTATTGATGGACATGCTACATGGCGATGGTGTTGCCTGCTGCATGTCTTCCACTCTCGAAGCAACAAGGCCTTGAGTCAACCTTGTTTGTTTCTCTTTCGGCCTCTGACGAGCTACCGCACCCAAACACAATATTGTTCCATGATCCTAGTCGCAGGTGGTTTGTTTGTTTTGGTTTTGATTTTTCGGGATGAATGCTGCAGCAGCGGGGCTCTTGGATTGATTGATTGTTTTGATTTTGACTTCATAGGATGGAATGGATGTTACAGCAGGGGGGCTACTGGACTGGTTTCTTTGTCACGGTATTGGATATCGGAGGAAGGGTTTGGCATGTTCTCGTTATTTGGACTGGTCATTGAGTTGAAGCATGAATATTTTCCTGAGGAATGAATTTGTTGTGAGCAGTCAGTGCGAAGGTGTACCGATTCAGGTAAAAGTCAATCGACGGATACCCTGCGAATCGGGTCCCCCTTAACAACAGACCTTAAAGGTGTAGAAATTTGACATCGAAAAGGTTTGAAAGCTTTGCAGGACGTGTTCTGTTGGAAGATCCGGCGATTTCGTGGGACATGTGCTATTGGCAGAGTCGTTTGGATTGGAATGAATGGTGGATGATTTCTTGTTGGCAAAGGGGTTTTGATTTTTCTGTCTGCCGTTTTATCTGGCAATGACAGTCAGTCGTGACGGGGATTTCGTAGATCGTATCTCGTACCGAGCAGGGGTGCTGTTTGGGGTGCTCGGCAGAGAATACTGTCTACGGGGCCTCCGGGGGATACGCGGATGGTGTGTATTGATGGACATGCTACATGGCGATGGTGTTGCCTGCCGCATGTCTCTCACTCTCTATCTATGCAACAAGGCCTTGAGTCAACCTTGTTTCTCTTTCGGCCCCTGACGAGCTATCGCACCCAAACATAATATTGTTCCATGATCGATGATATTAGTCGCAGGGGGTTTGTTTTGGTTTTGATTTTTCGGGATGAATGCTGCAGCAGGGGGGTTGTTGGATTGATTGATTGTTTTGATTTTGACTTCATGTTCAGGATGGAATGGATGTTACAGCAGGGGGGCTACTGGACTGGTTTCTTTGTTACGGTATTGGATATCGGAGGAAGGGTTTGGCATGTTCTCGTTATTTGAACTGGTCATTCATTGAGTTGAAACATGAATATTTACCTGAGGAATGAATTTGTTCGGAGTAGTCAGGACGTAAGACACGTTTTCCCGGAGTTTCCCGTCATCCATCCCCGTTCTGACGTGATTCTGATGTAATGTTGATCTTTGTGCTGGGTATTTTTCCAAGGGTGATTGTTCGTGTTTGATTGCTTGAGAATTTGGTAGAGCATTTTTCTCAAGAGGGTGATTTGTTTTTCTGGACAGACCTTAAAGGGGTAGAAATTCGACATCGAAAAGGTTTGAACGCTTTGCCGGACGTGTTCTGTTGGAAGTTCCGGCGATTTCGTGGAACATGTGCAATTGGCAGACAGAGTCGTTTGGATTGGAATGAATGGTGGATGATTTCTTGTTGGCAAACAAAGGGGTTTTGATTTTTCTGTCTGCCGTTTTATCTGGCAATGACAGTCGTGGCGGGGATTTCGTAGAGATCGTATCTCGTACCGAGCAGGGGTGCTGTTTGGGGTGCTCGGCAGAGAATACTGTCTACGGGACCTCCGGGGGATACGCGGATGGTGTGTGTATTGATGGACATGCTACATGGCGATGGTGTTGCCTGCCGCATGTCTCTCACTCTCTAAGCAACAAGGTCTTGAGTCAACCTTGTTTCTCTTTCGGCCTCTGACGAGCTACCGCACCCAAGCACAATATTGTTCCATGATCCTAGTCGCAGATGGTTTGTTTTGGTTTTGATTTTTCGGGATGAATGCTGCAGCAGGGGGGCTGTTGGATTGATTGATTGTTGATTTTGACTTCATGTTCAGGATGGTATGGATGTTACAGCAGGGGGGCTGGCTGCTGGACTGGTTTCTTTGTCACGGTATTGGATATCGGAGGAAGGGTTTTGGCATGTTCTCGTTATTTGGACTGGTCATTGAGTTGAAACATAAATATTTACCTGAGGAATGAATTTGTTGTGAGTAGTCAGGACGTAAGACACGTTTTCCCGGAGTTACCCGTCATCCATCCCCGTTCTGACGTGATTCTGATGTAATGTTGATCTTTGTGCTGGGTATTTTTCCAAGGGTGATTGTTCGTGTTTGATTGCTTGAGAATTCGGTAGAGCATTTTTCTCAAGAGGGTGATTTGTTTTTCTGGACAGACCTTAAAGGGGTAGAAATTTGACATCGAAAAGGTTTGAAAGCTTTGCCGGACGTGTTCTGTTAGAAGATCCGGCGATTTCGTGGGACATGATGTGCTATTGGCAGAGTCGTTTGGATTGGAATGGTGGATGATTTCTTGTTGGCAAAGGGGTTTTGATTTTTCTGTCTGCCGTTTTATCTGGCAATGATAGTCGTGACGGGGACTTCGTAGATCGTATCTCGTACCGAGCAGGGGTGCTGTTTGGGGTGCTCGGCAGAGAATACTGTCTACGGGGCCTCCGGGGGATACGCGGATGGTGTGTATTGATGGACATGCTACATGGCGATGGTGTTGCCTGCCGCATGTCTCTCACTCTCTAAGCAACAAGGTCTTGAGTCAACCTTCTTTCTGTTTCGGCCTCTGACGAGCTACCGCACCCAAACACAACCTATTTTTGCTTTCTTTCGTTACTTGATACAGAGCCGTATCCTCTCAGACTACGCCTCCCTTTCTGGCGGCAGTGGTATTGTACAGCCATTCTTTTCACTGTACCGCCCCCGCGCCCTAAAGCTTATTGTGTGTGGGAGATGACTGGCTAGTATCGGCGACAACCTCGACTACACATGGATCCAGACAACTCCCTCTGGAAATGTGTACACGTGGATTCAAACCATGGGCAGAGCGCACCGCTGTCTTGCGTGATTGCGCGACCATTCTTGGTCGATATGCGCTTGCATGGAGCTGGGGCTCCTTCTCACACCTCCAGGGCGCGAGAGCAACAATCGGATGATATCATACTCTCTTCCCGGTCTATCGGGCTGCGAGGGTAACTCGAGTCATTATTGAGCTTTAACATTTCTTGGCTTTTGTATCGATTCTCCCCGCATGCATGTCGTACAGTAGTTCACAAGTGGTGATGGTAACAACAGTGGACTCAGGTTTTTTCCTTTTGGTACCCACCTATTTTTGTGCTCGTTGTAGGTCAACCGTGAGAGGCGGAGAGATGGCACACACACCCCTACTCTGTGGATAGATTTGAAACTTTTATCACTCCACACCGAAGGGGGGGTGCGAAAAGAGAGAGGTAATTCCACGGAAGAAAGCCCTCGACGACATGCTTCCAAAACCACCATTTTTGGCGTTGGCACAATCTTGCAAAAAGCCCCGGTGTTTACCCCCTCCTGTGTGACCCTGGATGGTTGTTGTAGTCTAGTTGTACGAAAAATACACTCAAGAATGTAGTACTCTACACACTACGCGGACAGAGTGTAGCACACGTCTCACCACGAAAAATGGGGGGACTGTCGCCATAATAATGAGCCGCGGAGCGAGCGAAGCTAGCGACATTTTTTCCCTTCGTGCCCAAGAGGTAAAAAAAGACTATGTATCGGCCAAAGTTGCGCCGCGCGATAGATACAGGGGCCCCAACACTTGGTTTCCGGGAAGCCTTTTCAGCACACCTACCTTTGGAACCAGAACGAGATCTATAGACTAGGGCACCGATTGACGATCTGCTCGCTTCTGAGGAAGAAGAAAAATAGCGCGCTCTTCTCCACACCGGTTTCGTCGTGCTCCGAGAGCAGATAGCTTTGCTTCACCGGCATATATATGCAGCCTATATTCGTAGGAGATTGTGCTCCCCAACCCCGGGGTTTCTACGCGAAAAGGCGTGCACAAAAGCCGAGATCGCGGGCGCGCGCGATTCAGACCAGGACAAGAAACACCGACAGATACGCAACAACACCACCAACGAACGCATCACCGCTGAGACGCTGGTCTGAGACCAGCTATGAAAACCAGGAGGGGCCAGGCCTATACGACCTGTGCACCGTGGGTATACTGCTGTAGGCATGCGCCATGTGTAACTGGCGGGTATTTTTTATGTTGATTGAGTGGGTCCAACCAACTGTTTCAATAAGAAGAGCAGACCGATGATCACACTTGCTCCTTCCCCCTCGGCCTGCTCCCCGGCCGGGGCCGAAATCGACCTAGTGAGTCCCTCGCGGGCGAACCAGGCCACGACAGATAGTAGGCGGGTGGTGTCCCAAGGTGCTACTTACCGCCGCGCTGGCTCAGCGTGGCGGTGAGGATTCACAGACGGTGGTAGTGGCGAGAGGTGTGTAGACTATTGACACTGTTCCCGCGGCAGCAATGCAAAGCGGCAAACTGCACCTGGCAACCACCGTCGTCGCGGAAAGCGTGGCCCACGAATCTNCGGGGCCGAAATCGACCTAGTGAGTCCCTCGCGGGCGAACCAGGCCACGACAGATAGTAGGCGGGTGGTGTCCCAAGGTGCTACTTACCGCCGCGCTGGCTCAGCGTGGCGGTGAGGATTCACAGACGGTGGTAGTGGCGAGAGGTGTGTAGACTATTGACACTGTTCCCGCGGCAGCAATGCAAAGCGGCAAACTGCACCTGGCAACCACCGTCGTCGCGGAAAGCGTGGCCCACGAATCTGGAGTAGAGAGATTCGTCAACACCACGTCAGTAAGCACCGCTCGCGGGAGAAGGGAGACAACCACGGGCACCGCTGGGAGGGAGTGCTGCACCCTCCTCGTCAAAACGCCACAGGCAAGAACCGAGCTCTGCAGAGATGGATGGATGCGAGGAAATTCACCGCTCGGAAAATACGGACGAAAGCACACCCGCAACGCGAGGCGGACCGAGAGAGACCCGAGCCCGCAGCGGCCGTCAAGGTGGCTGCGAAGAAGAAGGCACGAGAGGGCGACCTATCGTTCGGCACGTTCAACGTACGCACGCTCGCCTACAGCGGTAGGAACCCCGTCGGTCACAACGTGATGACGGTCATGCAGATTTGTTCCGCGACCGGCTGTGATGTGATAGGACTTCAGGAGACCCAACGAGAGGGGCAAGGTTCAATTGCACAGGACGGGTACGTGATCATCTGGAGTGGCGCCCGTGTTGGCTGTTGGAGTATTTGCAGTGCAAGACCGACTCTAATCTGCTGTGTGTGTCATATTCGGCATTGTGAAGGCGTGTTTCCGAGTCTGTAACCGTCAGGTGAAGACAGCTCGCGTGTCTGTGTGTGGATAATATATCACTCTCTGTTTCTCTACCCAAGCCTCTTGTCACACAAGCCAACTACAGGGTACTGCAGCTGAGAGACCTCGCTGGCACGTCTGTCAGGTTACGAGCCTCGTGCGGTAAGGGAACTACGACAAAGTCACATAGCGTCCGCAACGCAACCTTCTAACTATCTGCAACGAGGATATGTGCCGTTCAGTGGGAATGCGGCCGAATTCCCGGGCTGGGTGACCCNCTTGTCACACAAGCCAACTACAGGGTACTGCAGCTGAGAGACCTCGCTGGCACGTCTGTCAGGTTACGAGCCTCGTGCGGTAAGGGAACTACGACAAAGTCACATAGCGTCCGCAACGCAACCTTCTAACTATCTGCAACGAGGATATGTGCCGTTCAGTGGGAATGCGGCCGAATTCCCGGGCTGGGTGACCCTGACGAGATCCTTACTGTCTGAGGCTGGCTTGCATAAGATTCTGTCTGGAGCGGAGACGGCTCCCGATCCTCTAGACGAGGGAGCGACCTCTGCAGCTACTTCCGCGCACGAGAGAGCCGCCCTCAAANGCAGCTGCTTTCGCGCACGAGAGAGCCACCCTCAACTTCCAAGAGAAGAACGGCAAGTTGTACACGCGGTTGCTGCTGGCTACGTCGGACGGCCCGGACGGATATTCCAGCCCAGCTTCGCAGGTAGTACAGCAGTACGGACCTGTCGGGGACGAGGAGTATGGTGACGGACGAGCTGCGTTCGTAGCTCTTGACAAGAAATATCGTGTCGAAGGTGTCTTTCGCATGCAACAACTCATGACGAGTTTGCCTCCGTAGCGGTCACAGCAGCCGACAAGTTCGATCCGGCACGTGCGGTCCAACAATTGCGCCGTATCTGTCACGAGCTCGGTAAGCTAGGCGATAACGTTGTGGAGGCAAGACAGGCAGATGCTCTTCTACGAGCCCTCCCTGAAAAGCAGTATGGTTCACTCAAGGCTGCGCTGCTATGCGAGAAGCCAAATCTCGGTGGTAGTGAGGGTCTTGGGTTCGATGCTATCGTGCAGCGTGCCACCGTTTTTCACGCCATGCAAATCCGCGGGAAAGTGTCTGACCATGATGATGGTTCAGGCAGCCACGGCCGTGTGTTGAACACTGTCACGCACGGAGGCGCACGTGGTTTCCGCAAACGCGGCGGTCGCGGCGGACGCGGCGGTCGCGGCGGTCGCCGAGGAAACGGTGGCAAAACTGCGAACGGTTCGACCAGCTCGGACGGAAACAACAGCAACAACGGCGGCGGAACCTCCGGAGGAGCCCGCGCGGGAAATGCGCAGGGCGCACGCGGGAATCATCGCGGCAGCCAAGCCTCTGGGGGGAAAGGTGCGGGAATGCACAAGGGACGTTGCCGTTACTGTCATAACTCCACCGAGCATGGGTGGTATGACTGCTCGCTTCGCCTGAGGAACGAGGCGGAGGATGCCAAAGAAAAGGCGCACACCACACAGGACTCCACCACTCAGGCATGGTTCACGCGGGTGGAGGTGGCCGGCGATGAGGTTGAAGAATTCGCCATCGTTTTCGGTGATGACGCCAGGAGTTGAAGGTGCCTGCTGCGGCGCTGCCAGTGGAGCGCGTTGTTGACGAGGACCCGGTTCAGGATACGCCCGTGGCACTGCCGGCAGGTGCCTGCTGCGGTGCTGCCAGAGGACCGCGCCGCTGGAGTCGAACAGGTGCACAATGCGCCTGTGACGGCGCTGCCGGATGGACTCGTCGTCCGCGACCCGCAGGCACTGCAGGTACCTGCTGCGGCGCTGCCCGAGGAGCGCGCTGCTGATGAGGACCCGGTTCAGGATACGCCCGTGGCACTGCCGGATGGTTCCTTCATTTGTGACCCGCAGGCACTGCAGGTGGCCACTGCGGTACCACCAGCGAAGGGTGTGGCTGGAGATGGACCAGCGGAACGCCCGGCTGAATCTGCGGAGCTGCCAGCGGAGGGTGCGGCTGGAGATGGACCAGCGGAGCGCCCGGCTGGAGATCAGCAGGCCGAGGATGCGCATGAGACTACCGAGTTGGTAAGGTACACCAGTGTGTTTCAGGTGGAAAAGGGGGGGTCGGAGGCTGTTGGTGATACGACACTCTACATAGACTCAGGGGCATCGAGCCACATGGTGGACGCTCAATCTCGCATGTGGACTGCGCCGTTCGTATCATCAGGTCGTGTGGCACGTCTAGCGCTACCAAGAAAGGCACCCTGAAGTTCGGGATTCGCAATGCTCACGACGAAGTGGTACAAGTGGCGTTGGACGTTCTGCTGGTTCGAGACGTAGGAGCGAACATCTTTTCGGTTGGAGCGTTGGCTGAAAAGGGGGTTAAGTGTGATCTCATGTCTACCCCTCCGGCGCTCCGCCGCGGCGACCAGACTTTTCCATTTCAACCGCTGTGCCTCGAATGTACGTGATGAATGTCATCGTCGACGACCTCAACCTGGACGATGTAGACGTGTATCACACCAAGGTTGACGCTCACCTGTGGCATCGGAGGATGGGCCACTGCAATCCTCGTGCGCTGCAGCAGCTGGCTGACAAGGGTTCCACCGGTAAAAGCTTCCATCGTAACATCGAATCAGGTGACTGCAGTGTATGCGCAGTTGGGGACAGCAAGAGAAGCAGCCACCCGCTGTCCGATCGCCCCCGCCTTGAGACCCGGCTTGAGATTGTAAGCGCCGATGTGTGGGGGAAGCCCTCTGTTAAATCGTACGGGGGTTGCCAGAGCGCCGTGATGTTTACTGACGACGCTTCGCGTATGAGGTTCGGCTTCCCCATCAAGACGAAAGACGAAACGGCGGAGGCCCTCCAATCGCTTATCCGGGACGTTGCCGATCCGCTTGGGCAAAGCATCGGTACGGTGCACTGCGATGGCGGAAAAGAGTTCAAGGGCACGTTCTTGGAGCTGTGCATGTCGGTTGGAATTACGGTCAACAACAGCCCCCCCTACGTTCCGCAAGGGAATGCCATCGCGGAGCGTGGGTTTGGTACAATCATCGGCACTACGCGCAAGATGCTCCTGGGGGCGCCGCACCTTCCCGGCGAGCTGTGGGCTGAGGCTTTTCGGATCGCCATTTATCTCAAGAATCGCACACCAACTGACGTCCTGGGCGGTAAGGCCCCAATCGAGGTATGGGAGAGTAAGCCGCTCGGGAAAATGTTGCACATCCACGAATGGGATTCGTTGGCGTTTAAGCACGAGGAGACGCGCTTCCGGTCGAGCAAGTTGGCGGCCAGGGCCAAGAAAATGTACCTGGTCGGCTATAATCCGGAGAGTAGGTCGTACAGGCTGTGGGACCCAGCGGAGTCTTTCAATATCACCAACTCTGCCGAGGTATCATTCCGTGAGAAAGAAATGGGTGACGTGGTCAAACCCAAGGTAGGGCACGACCCGTTTCCTGCGCCCAATGTGTCTGTTTATCAGCCTGGCGCGGTAGAATCTAGCGAAAGCGAAGATGAAGACACAACCCCCACAGGGCCGCCGCCGGTGGCTCCGGGACCTCGTCGGAGCGACAGGACCTCCGTGGCGCCGCAGCGGCTGAACCTGTTTACGACGGAGGAGGATGCGTACGAGAGAATCGAGCATGCCCTGGTGACGGGTAGCGACGTCGGCAACATCGGGAGTGGACGTCCCGGTGAAGTGGGTTATATGTCTGCCGACCCCGCCAACTACGATGAAGCGGTGAGTGGACCGGACGCCGAACGCTGGACAATTTCTCTACGACAATGACGTTCCGGTCCGCCCGAAGACTCGTGTCGTGGTGCAAGGGTTTCACGAGGCTGATACGGGGATGGACAAGGCCGCACCTGTCGCAAGCATGGAATCTGTGCACCTGGTAGTGTCTCACGTCGCGTACTACGGTCTAGTTCTCAAGCAAGCTGGCATCAAGACTGCGTTCCTTATCTCCAGAATCCCCGAGGGTGCGAAGCCCGTCTACGTGATTCCTCCGGAGGGTTTCAGGTGCACGCCGGAGCAAGCCAAACAAGTCTGGCGTCTCAAGGCGTGGCTGTACGGCCTGCGTCTCTCCCCGAAGGTCTGGAATGGAACCTTTCACCAGTTCCTGCTGGAACTAGGCTTCGTACCGAGCACTGCCGACCCGTGCCTGTGCATACTGCACGCGGCGGGAAGTAATCCTACTGGTGTATGTGGACGACATTCTGCTCACTGGGACCAGCGAGGAACTAACNAGTCTGGCGTCTCAAGGCGTGGCTGTACGGCCTGCGTCTCTCCCCGAAGGTCTGGAATGGAACCTTTCACCAGTTCCTGCTGGAACTAGGCTTCGTACCGAGCACTGCCGACCCGTGCCTGTGCATACTGCACGCGGGGGGAAGTAATCCTACTGGTGTATGTGGACGACATTCTGCTCACTGGGACCAGCGAGGAACTAACGTCGACCATTATCGAACAGATGAAGGAACGGTTTGAAACGGTGGACCTAGGAGATGCGAAGTTCATCCTGGGAATGGCCATCCACCGCAACCGCGACACGGGCACTATTCTCTTGACGCAGGAGGCATACACCAAGGCCGTACTTGCCAAGTTCGGCATGGCCGACTTGCACCCGACGAAGACGCCGGCGGAGGTTGGACCGATGAGCGCAGTGGAGGAAGAGACTCTGACGCCGGATGAAGCTACAATTTTCCGGTCTGCCACGGGTTCGGCTCTATACATATGTAGGGGATCGAGGCCGGACATTTTCCACACGATACTGGTGCTTACCAAGAGCATGGCTAAGCCCGGGCCGAAGGCGTGGGCTAAGCTAAAGCGACTGATGCGGTACCTGAAGGGAGCCGCATCGCTGGGGATAACATGCAGCGGGGACGCATCGAACGGAGACAAACTAATTGCTTACGTTGATTCCGACTTTGCAGGCGGCGCGGAAGAAGCGCAGCATCGCGAGGTGGAGAGCACTGGAAACGATCTTCGAGGGCTATGTACGGCAGCTCGAGAAGAAAAGCCGCGAGGGGGATCAGGCGGGTTTCTACAGGCACCTGAAGATGATCGACGTCGAAGGTAAGAGGTCGTTCACCTCTCAGAATATCAAGGACGAGGACGGCAAGGTCCTTCGGGACCCCACGTTTATTCGCCAACGGTGGGCACGGTGGTTCCACAAGCTTCTCAACACCAAGTCGCCGACCATCGACCTGCATGCGG